TTATAGTAACTTGCATATGTATACATACAACTTTCTTATAAAAATTTTTTTTTTAGAAAATATTTTTAAAAATTATACATTTCTATAGAAATAAGAGCGTATAATATAATGGGTTTTGTACGAGAAGAGTAAAAATAATAAAAAAGGATTTCACCTTATATACATATTTATTGTATGTGGTTAAAATAAATACATTCCTATATTAATATGAATTTAGATTAGGGTTCAAAACATATTTATTTATATCACATTAAATTTCTAAAAATATATTTTTATATATAACATGTATAATAATATTAAATGTAGTTAAAGTTTAGTAGATCAGGTTCACAGGAAAAGAGGTCTATTTATCTTGCTTTTTTTTTGTTGTTGAAACAAAATAAAACAAAACGGAAAATATGTAAAATTTTGTTTAGAGAAAAACCAATGAATAAATGAAAAATATATTCTTTTTACATTTACGAAATGGAATATTTTAACAAGGACAACAGATACCTACATATATCATACCACAAATAGCTATCTATATATACTTAAGTATTATTATATTTATTTTTAAAATATTTTCCAGTTAATAATGATAACATCAATTTAATTCTATAAATATACACAATGCATTCATTTTATTGTATTCATTTTAATGTTACTATTGCCAGGGTTGATTTTTGGTTTACAAAATCCTCTGTACAGTTATAAAAAATTGGATTCTATGGTCAATAATTTTTGCAGCCCGCTATGGACTAAAAACCTAAAATTGAATGTAAATTTGATTAAAATGGTATATGTAAACAGTGTATTGTAAAAAATTTTTCTGTGCTCAATCAGATTATTGAATGCACGTTTTAAATTTGTGTTTATATGTAGCATAATATGAAAAGAGGGGCGGCATGTGCGTAAAATAAAAATCTTTCTAATATAAATCGATTGAAATTATGTATGTACGCCTGTTATGCTATTTCCTTAAATGATTGGACATTTTTTTTTAAAAATTATGAATAAATATTTAGAACGGCATTCTCAGTTGCGTCTTACTGTTTGCATAAATCCGATCCTGCACTATCTATACATTAAATAAAATATAATATTTGTTTAAGTATATTTTAATATTTTTACAATAAGTATTATTGTTTAATTTTTCTTTTTTGTATTTTGTATACTTTGAAAAAAAAAAAAAGAAACATTTTTCATTTTAAAAATAAACCTTTGACGTACTTTTATAATAATAAAATATTTTTAAGTAAGAATGTGTGTGTATGTAAATGAATGATGATATTATAAACTCTGTTTTGTTTTCAAAAAAAACAAAAAAAAAAAAGTTAATAGCTACAAAATTAATAAGTCCTTTTTGTTTTATGTTTTAAAATGGTAAAATGAATGGTAATTTGTGGAATGTGAATGAAATGACAGTTCGTAGAAATAATAAGAGGATTAGGTCTTTGTTTTATTTTTATTTTTTGAGGTATTTTACATGCAATGTACGCGTATACGTAGGTAGATATACATTATGCAATATGTATGCATTATTCGAATAAAACAATTGATATATTACAAATATTTTACAATAATGCTACTTCTCTATGTTAATTTGCCAATTACAGGCACCATTCTTAATATTTATATAACAATGCTGATTAATTTAAAAATAAATATATACTATAATATTTTGTAATAAATAATTGTATTTTCCTTAAAATTTATAATTATTTTAATGGAAATTCAAACTCATTAATCAAAACTAAATATTCGAATTTATAATATTATAGCATGTGTTATTTTTCAATATGAAAATTTATATGATATTATAATTGCAATTTATACCATATAATCAACGTAAAAGGATCAATAACTTAAAATTTTTATTATGTATTAAAATTAAAATACGATTTTACGAAATCTTTAAAGCTGCCCATTATTAGAATATATTTTGCTGAGTACATGGCATACATTGAAGATATTTTTATCATATCAAATTTTATACATATATCGAAAACTCAAACTAAGCTATTTTTTGCACGGCGTTGATTTTTTTGCACTTATTTATAAACCAGTTTTGTAAACTCTTTTATAACCAGTTTTGAATAACTCGGTTAGCTTAAGTGAAAAACATAAAATGTGACTATGGTTCCTCCTAAGAGCCAGGAAAATGAAAATGTAGAATGAAAGACGAGATTTTTACATTTTTAGCCATATTTAACACAACAATGGATGGATTGAAATATTTTAAATATTTTTTATAAGAGTAGCGATAAATAAACCGGCCGACGGAATCGTGTAATAAAAATCGAACCTATACAATGCTTCTATTTCGAATTTTCGAAAATGTTTTAATAAATACACTATGAACTTGTAAACTTGCTTATGATGTACATTTATATAATGTATAAATTTTTCAAATATACAAACGAGCTACATATATTATTAATAAAATTAGTGTGAATTAAAAAAACCTAAGTTTTTACTTGTTTTATTTTAAATCAGTATCTAGGTGTGATTTTTGAGAGACCCTATACAAGATTAATTTTCAAATATATCACCTAAACATGTGCATTAATCAAATTATATTTTTTGTTTCATAATATGCAATTTACATTTTATGGATTTTCTTATATAACCAATATTGCAGATAATATGACTGATAAGAGTATGTATACATATACATATGAATGTAATTTTATTGGATTTCAAAGGATTATTTTAAATAAAGCAACATTATGCTGACGTAATTGATTTATTAAAACTTGTGATTTTATTTTCTCTTAAATTATCAAATAAATTTCAATATTTTTTTTCAATTAAAAATAATATTAGTGTACGTATTTGGATTTATTTTTAGATTCAATTTACGTCACAAATAATAATATTAGTGCAATTGAAAGGGCAAAATTAAAAAAATTATAAAATTCAGATTAATTTTAAAATGTTTCCGATTTTTTTTAACTTTGTTATTCAAACTTGACAAATCAATATTCAAATTGGATTTATTTTATACTCGAAACTCGGAAATTCCATAAATAGTTAGAAAAAAATATGTATTTTAAAATATTTTAAACTTAACCCTATATTTTATGATTAATGAATAATGACTATCTATAGAGGTTAACTTAATAGGATAATCAATTTCAAAGAGAAAGCCTGAGACAAATTAAATTACATATCTAAAAGTTTATTTTAAAACATGAATTTGCGCTTCTTCTAGTGCATTATAGACTTAGTTTTTTCAGTATATAACACACTCAATATTTTTATGTTGTTTTAATTCAATAATTGACTAAAATAAATTTTCCTTGAACACATTTAATTGAGATTGATAGTTAAAATTTGATTATACAACATGAAATAGCATTTGAGTGAAATTGCTTTTCGAACTTTATTACTATGTACGAAAATAAATTCCAGAATAAATTCAGGAATATTATATTTTTATTTGTGAACTTTAAAACTCTGAAATACTTAAATTTAGTAATTATTTTTATTATAATTAAAATAAAAGTTTAATACGGCTATTATAGCTACATTCATTTATTAATACAATAGTTCTTCATATAAATCTTTTCGAAAAGCACATGCCGCATTGCCGTAGAAATATTTTTAAACTTATATATTAAAATAAAAATAATTATGGAGATTATTATTTTAAAAAGGATAAGAATTAAAAAGAGAATTATTTCAGAGTCCAATAATCCAATAAATTAAATTATATAGGATTACATTTAATAATATTATCCATAATCTGTTTTATAATTATGTGTATTATACGTACATACGGTATATTTAAATTCAATTTTATGAGATCTAAAATAAATCGGAAACTTATTTTATTTAATTGAATTCAAATTTAATACAATATTGTACATTTAGTTGAAATTTAATATGATTCTGAATTTAATTTCACATAATTATAATAAGCACTACATGAGTCCATGTTATAATTGACTATTATGAACCGAAACAGATAATTACCGACCCTATTGTGTATACAATAGGTAGGTTATGTGATGGAAACAAATTCTGTATATCGAGTTTCAAGTGTAAATAAACTATTTTTAACAACCAAAACGGTCTGTGTGGCATCGCATCAATCAAACATTTTAGGCCGATCGATATTTTTTTGGGTTTATCTAATGCCGGCAATTATGCCTTTTATGAACTAAATTTATTTAATATTTATTTAATATTATTACATTATATTTATAATCTAAACCAGTGAATTGAAAATTTACTTTATTTTAATTAAAGTTACTCTAAACTATGTAATAATAAAGTTTATAGAAGGTCTAAATTAAATTCCAGAAACATAAATTAAACTCCTATAACAAAGAATGGGAAACTTGAAAGATGCTATAGAATGAAGTTAATATGGGTGGAATATATGTCAGAAATATCCTCACCATGAAATCTAAAAGTTTCTATCGCATTTTTCAATTGAAACCTAAACAATAAAAATGTATATTTAAGAGAACTAACAATAACTTGCCCTAAGAAAAATTTCAAATAGAACCATAAAGCCTATTCCGACCTAGTTACGTATATTATTTGGTCGAGTTTACTCAAATATATATTTTCTTCATATTACAATTGTGTTCTTATATTGAATGAAATAATCAATTGTCGAGAATTTTATATAATCAAAAATATTTAATTTACAAATTAAATTTTTTTCATTTTCTCTTTACAGATTGCAACAGCAAATCAACAAGGATTATCAAAATAAAAAGAAAAGTATTTTATAACAAAAATAATGTAAAATAAAATCTAAAAGATTTATTTTGTATAATATTGTAACTTTTAAAAGTCATCATTGTTAAAGATTATACAATAAAAATTTAACTAAAAATCCGAAAATTATTAAAAAAATATACTAAAAGTTTCAGAAAATTTTGTGGAAACAAATTAAACTTGAAGCATCTTGAAACAACTGTAAAACTATAAAAAAAAAGGCATAAAAAAACCTTGAAAATTGATTTAAAATTTTAATTCTGATTTTTTTTTCTCTTATTTTTGGTCTATAAGAATTCCTAATATTTTTCTAAAGTATTAACGAACAAAAATATGTAAATAAAATTGCAAAACAAAAAAATACAAAAAGAAAAAAAAAAAGAATTATTTCATCCTTTTTGTTTTTTCATTTCCGTTTTACAGTCTCTCATTTCCTCCAATCCCTAATGTTTTTATATTCGAATTTTTTAACACCTGTATGCATAGTAGTACCATCATTAAAATATTATTCTAGATTCAATCCTAAAATCGCCTGCTAAAATAAAAAATAAATCCTTAATAATATCACAGTAAAAATAAAAACAAATAATAATAACAAAATAAAAAGGAAATAAAATAAAAGAAAAGGAAACAAAAAATCAGAATTCTAGAATCCTGTCTTCATGTACACATCTACTTTAAAGGATATAATAATAATATTATTAAAATAAAATATAGTACAGGATATAAAAGTTAAAAGGAAGTGAGAAAAAACAAACAAAAAAAAATTAAATATTTTTGCTCTTTTTTTTTTTTTTGGTTTTTTTAGTTTTTTTTTTCGAAAATTATAGAATTTTTAGAATTATGTCAAATAATATAAAATTTTTGTGGTTATTCCATTTTCGAACTTATTTGATTTACTATTTGTGTTGTTATTTACTTATAATGGTAGCAGCTGGTAGTCGTGTTGTTAGCGGTTTAAAATGTTATTGTAATCCACAAGAATGTGATGTTATTAGATCACAGGATTGTCCAGGGAAAGGAATTGTATTGTGGGATCCTTGCAAGTAAGTAAAAAATAACATTTTTTTTTATTTTACATTTCTCTACTGTTTATGGGTGGAAATTTTATTATGGGTGGATTTTTTTTGTTTCTGTTTTAAAATTTCTTATTTGGTTTTATTTTTTATTTTTCAAATTGCTTTTTTCAAAATGTTTTGATATCTTAATAATTTGCATGCATTTACGTATATGACTATATTTGTTGAAACAGTGTGTTTCTCATTTCAAAAATTACTAAAAATAAAAATTAAAAAAAAAATAAGGTTTTCCAATAGACCTCATCAAATTACGCAATTAGCGAAATAGTAGAAATGAACAACAACAAGTGAAAAGCTCATGGGCCTATGAACAGGATATTGTCAGCTCAAAGTTCATGGAAGTGAATTTTGAATGGAAGAAAGTTTGTAAATTCTATGAACAAACAGTGGATACGATTTCATCGAATTTAGTTTGTAAATCTATACGAGAGATCAGATTTTCTAGGAGCCGTTTGATCTCCGGGAGAATAGATTCTCTAGGCAATTACTTGCTCACAGCAAAAGCTGCGACAAATTTATCTCTATTAGGTACTAAGACGATAGAGGCGATAAATATTCTCTTTCTTAATGTTTCAGTAAATGTAAGGACCACGTTAGTGTTTAACAGTAATGTGGTCCTAACAGTTTCGGATAATTATGACCATCATGACCATCCAAAATTGTAAATAATTTTTAAGTTTTTAAAAAATATTGCAAATCTCATTGAAACACAATATTCTGCTATATTTTCTATATTTCTATACATTAAAATTATGGGAACCATCCTGTTATTATTTTAAAAGGATTTTAAAAAACATATTGATAATTTAAGCTTATAATATGCAATATTTTAGAATTTGATCTAAATTGAATAATTTTTTTTTCTTTGTATTTTATAAGCCATAAATCAATAAATTTTCAATTCTGGTTTTTCTTTATTTTGTTTTTGTTTTCTTTTGTTCTGTTTGTTTTAATATTGTGCAAATATTTTGTTGATTTTTTCTCTCTTTTATCCTTTTAAATTTTTTTTCCCCTTTGTTTTTTAAATTTTAGTTTTTTTTTTTCCTCTGCATTTTAAAACCAATTTTTAATTTATATACATATTATATATTTTTTATATTTTTATATATATAATGTTTTCATTTCCAGATGTTGTAAAATATGTGCAAAAACCTTAGGTGAAAAATGTGGTGGTCCTGGTGGTTTCTCTGGGACATGTGAACCACCATTACAATGTGTTGCTAGTTTACCAGTTACAACTGGATTAGGTATTTGTAAGGGTAAGTCTAAATAAATTTTACTATTTTCATGTTTTTTTTTTTTCAATTAAAAAAAATGTAAAAATGCAAAATTATTTTATTAAATATTGTGAAAATATGAAAAAGTAGGTCAAGAATGTAAAAATTTACTTTATCCCGGATGGGTTATTAATAAATAATATTTAAAGACGAAATCAAATCGAAATTATAAATTTTATGATCTTTATAGCGCCGCACCAAAAATTTTTTTTAAAGAAAATTTCATAGCACTATAGGACATCACAAGATATATTTATTCGCAGTTATTTGGAAAAATTTAAGACCTCATATGTGAAGATTATAATCACAACAAAAATGTTTGAATTTCTGTCGGAGTGATGATACGGTTTAACAAATTCGAATATCATTACTGCCATTATTACTGTTATAAATGTGATTTTTCCATTGATGTAAATTCTACTTTTTAAAATAAAAATTGGAAAATTTAAAACTAAGGTTTCAATATTTTGTTGGTTAAAGCGCTTCTCTACTAAATAATAAAAATTATTTTTTAAACATGAGTGAATGCTATACAAAATGTCTATTGCAACTATAAATTTATTAAAATATACACCCATATAATTAAAAATCCCAACTAGCTATAAAGTAAAACTAAAACTAAAAATTCCAAGTAAAAATTCCAACTAAAAATTAATTGGGATTTTTAAAATAACATTTTTACTTTCCTTTTTCCCTTTTTTTTTCATTTTATTATAAAAATTTCATTCTAAAATATTTTTCAAACTTAAAAAAATATTCACTCCCTCGGTATTTTAAGGGGCAAAAAAAAAAAATAAAATAACAATTTTAGTGCACTTTTTTCCTTTCATTTTTTACTTTTTTTGTGAATAAACTTGAATTCTTTTGAAGATGACATGCACTTAAATTTAGATTTGGATTTTTTATTTTAATACTAGGTCAAAAAAAAATATCTATTGTTTTTCTATCCAAATTAACTTTAAGCGCCATGATGAAAAGAAGAAACAAAACTGAAGGATCATTATAATGACGCGTACACTAAAATAATAAAAAAAAAAATATCCTTTTTTTTATTTTGAATTTGTAATCCTTTTCAACAAGAATTTTTAGTAGTTTGTGTCATTGTATTTATACCATTATTTTTCCGTTTTTTGAAAAAAAAAAAAAAAGAAAAAATGTTGTAAAAGTTTTCATAATGCGGAAGAAAAATTATTTTGTTTTTCTTTTTGTGTGTTTTGTTAAAATCTTGCTTCCAATGCTACAAAGATGGGAAGCGAGGATTTGATGCAGTTACGAGATTGCAATTCAGATCTAAATTTTTATAATTTACGTTCACTGCGGTTATGTATAGAGAAATAGAAATATTTAAAGTTCATATGGTAAATAAAAGCGTAATAGAATTCTGATTTCGTTCATAACAATGGTAGATAAAAATTACTTCGATAATTAAGATCCTAAATAATATAAAACGCTTCAGTTGTTCAAACTGATCGAAGGAAATGTAACTTTTAATTAATATTCTAAATTAGATCCTTTATGAATAATCAAATGTTATCAAAACTTGCAAAATTTTTGTACAAGAATTGGAAATTATTAAAAAAATTAAAATTAATTAAAGTTTGATACTAAATTAGGCCGTTTAAAGTGATCTTTTTAAAACAAAACATATACACGTAGTACAATAAATGGAAGCAACCGGAGTGTTGAAAACCGGAACCGGAATATTTTGCGTTTTTGAGCCCTCAATATATTTTCTAATGTATAATACTAAAGTGTTATTTTATTTGATCATCTCAGAACCTCACAGAACTAATGAAAACTATGTACATAACAAAAAAAAAAAAATCTTTCATATTTTTTGTTCTCTTTCTCTTATTTCACTAAAATACTTTAACATATCCTTGATTGTTAAAGGATTTAACTGTTTTTTAACTCTAACTGTGTTGTTGAAAATAATAGTTAAATGGAAAAGCAAAAAATACTTAAAATAAATTTTTAGTTAAAAAACAAAAAAAAAAAAACTAACAGATTTTTTTTTCCTCTTATTGTTTGGCAGTCTATTATTTTAGATATTTTTTCGTTCCTCCTATTTTTAGCACTTTTCCAAAAATTTTTTGAAAAAAGTGCTTATTAGTTTCACTCTGTCCGTCCGTCCGTCCGTCCGTCCGTCCGTCCGTCCGACCGTCCGTCCGTCCGTCCGTCCGTCCGTCCGTCCGTCCGTCCGACCGTCCGTCCGTCCGTCCGTCCGTCCGTCCGTCCGTGTGTCTGTTTACAAAACTTCTACATTCTTAAAGATAGAAAGCTGAAATTTAATACGTACATAGATCTTTACTAGAAACTTATTTTCGTAGAACAAAATTTTTACCTATCTCCCCCCTCTTTAGAAGTTATACCACCACCAAACCACTAAAAATAGCCTATTTTAACTATTTGTTGCAATGAAACCATAAGCATTTTTGAAATTTTGCAAACGCAGAAAGGCAGTAGCTTCCTTCCCCTAGCGCAGTATACTATAGCTAAACTTTAGAAAAACAAAATGGCCGTTCAAATTTACCGTTATCTAAAGTCCTTTTTTTCCAAATTTTTGATCTCGTTTTTCTTCTAAACCCCATAATGTAGAACTTTGAAATTTTTGCAGCTTTTAGACATTAATAAATAATTCATTTCGTTAGAAGAAAATTTTTTTCCATCTCCACCCCCTCTCAAGTTATGGCCTCTTGAAATTTGTAAAATTTGCATTTTCGCCGCCTTATATTTCTGAAACCGCAAGCTTTTTCAAATTTCTATAAACGCAAAAAGTTAACGGTAAATTCCATGATATTAAAAAATATAATTATTTTTCTTAACTCATACAATTAAACCTTAAAATCGAGCATTACGTTAACCCCTGCTTATATTAATTTTTGCTTTATTTCAAAGACTGCATAAATCGTTCATCCTAAACATATGCAATCCTAGAAATAGTTTTGTATATGAATGAAAATAATTTTAATAGTGTGATAGGTATACATACTCGTAGACTGTATTTAAAAGCAGAATTTTCACTTGTTGAAGGGAAAAGTGCTACAATACAAACCATTGGTTTGACCCAACTTTATTTATTATCTTATGCCAAAAACAATGATAAAAAAAAATACTAAATGTGAATGTAACAAGTTTAAGTACTTTTTTGGCACTATAGAGTTTTCTCATGACAAGAAAATATTTAAAAAAAAAATCTATAATATGATAAAAATAAAAGTACATTATAGTGGCATTGAATTTATGACCCATATGTACAGGGTTGCGGTTTTTTTTTGTTTTAAACAAAAATTTAACAAAAATGAAGTATGTGTATCAATATACGAATTTAGTTTCGTCCTTATAATATTTTTCATGAATTTACTTAACTTTTATGATAAAGACGACAAAGATGTAATTATTCAAACATAATGGTGTAAACGAACTTAAATTACTTTATAAAATATTAAATAAGGGCAACAGGAGCTGAGTATTTTCTTCAATTTTCCTTTACATTCAATTCTTAATATTTAAATTTTTGTATATAGTAAAGCAGAGGCAAAAAATTATAAGGCCATTTTAATAATAATTTCATGCTCCAATTTTCCGTTTACCAAATTTTCATAGACATACCTACAAATATACAATATATAAATTATGTATTTTATTGTATTAAAAAAAAAATGAAAAAATACCTTGACCTCTTCATATATAAATTCTTTAAAAATTTTCAATATTTTCAAGAGAATTAAAGAATAACTCAAAGGAAATGAGAAATTTAAATATTAAAATACAATATGTAGATTCTTGAGAAATTTATTTTTTCCTTTTCAAAAGATGAAAGTCAAAAAGGTTTTCTTGTTTTTTAATTTTTTTTTTCATTCTCTTAAAAAAAATTCTATTATACGACCTTTGAAAAATTTCATATTCCATTGCTTTTCTCTTTTACTTTAAAATCAATTGAGATTGAAAATTTTTTTGATTCATTTTACCATAAAATTATTATTAAAAATTTTGAGTAAGTGTTTGAACAATATTGAATTTCCGTTATAGGGCAAAATACTTATTTCATGATCGAGAAAAACTATAATCTTAGAATGGTTTAATTTTTATGTAAGAAAAAATTTCAGATATATACATTTATCCTTGTACATCCTAAATTATTTTATGATTAACGTAAAGCTTTAAAATTTGGGTTGAAATTAAGTTTTGCTCTCTTCATAATGGATTGAATGCCTCATAATTACATGGCTATCATAAATTACACTTGAAACCGGTTATGAAAAGATTTAGATCAACTGGAAATTTTCTAAACAATGATGAAAAAATGTGGAAAGTACTCCAATGGTAATTGGATTAGGTTCAGTAGTACAATATAACATTTAAAAATGATATATAGAATCATGAAAAAAAAAATATATTTTACATGCATCAATCTACAGAAATTATGAACAATAGTAAAAATGTAATGTGTCGCAATGCAAAAAATACATCGAATTCGTAAGCCCAATAAAATCATAATTCAATTAATTATTTTGAAACTTGATTTAGTTATTCGTAAGACAAATTGAACGTGATTTGCTAACATCCTAATCTGATACAATGAAAAAAGAGCTTCTGACAAAATAATTCGAATTTGACATTTTGAAGGATTTCATAAATATTATTTATGTTTTTTAATTTACTTTCATTTAGTTCATAATTAATTTCTATATATTATATTTAAAATATTTGACTATTATTTTAAGGAAAAAATCTCTACAAGATATTGTATAAAAAGTTCTTATCTATAGAAGAGCTAAAAACTAAAATGAACATTTTCTAAACTATATTCAATAAAATGAAAAACTAAAGATTAAAACACTTTTTCTTCACCTATTTGCATATTCCTATTTTAATTGATGAAATGATGATACTAAAATGCTAACATCTTTTCTTTCATCTATTTTTATCAAATCCCTATAAAACATTTTAATCCTTTTACTATACTTTCATCTATTAAA